AGAGAGAGAGAGAGAAACTCTGAGGATTTACATAAGTCAAAACCTTTGTCTCTTTAATCGATATGCCTGATTTGATGTATATGTCAGGTCTCAAGGTTTTGTGACTTGGCCAAACTATGATGTGGTGAAGTCCAAGAAGGCAAGAATCCTAGACATCTTCCTTCGAGGCCATTGAGACACAACACATGGCTTCTAACTTAGTGTTTTTTTAGTGAGTTGGGCACCCATTTTGAGTTTTATTGGCAACCGTCATTCCTTTTTTATCAAGAATGTATATGGACTGGTGATATGACTAAGGCCCATTTAGTGTTTTCTCATTCCCTTTTTTGATTTGAAAAGTGATGGTGATAATCTTACATTCATAATATGCAGGTCCATTTTGACTCTGCACCCACCTCTTCATGCCCCCTTTTAGTCATCCATTGTTGCTTTTACTTTAAATATTGTCCAGATGTATCCCCATGATGTTATACACACACACACACACACACACCCACTCATTATGGATTCTGGGGTATATCAAATAACTTGTTTGTGTGAACTTTTGTGAGGAGATTTTTTATTATATATGACATATAGAGTTGTAAAACTTTTTGAATCAGGTGAGGTTTAATCATTGACATTATTAAAAAAATAAGAAACTACCTATGTTGATTCCACAAATTGAAGACATTGGGCAATGATAGTGAAGATGCTTATGAAACATTCACTAGTGAATTGGTACCAAGAAAAAGGATGAAAGGTTATTGCAAACTCTATATTCTTAAATTTACAAAGTTGAGCTCCTTGTTCAAATATCCAATTTCTCTTGCTCTTGACTTTACCAAAATTGATTGATGTAGAGACAAATGAAAATGAACAAATCAGATTACAACCCTAATTACATCAGTGGTGTTCTCTATATTTCTTAGTGCTGTGCTAGAATTTGATACACAATGTCAAGTTCACTAACTAAATAGGAGAAGAGGCTTTTATGTGATGTCCTTAATATATTAAATATATTCTTGATATTATACCCTTTGTAATATTCATTTGTTCATTTGGTTTATTTTATTTTCATAGTTAGTATGCGTTGGTCTAAGAAAGGTGATGACCTTAAACTTTCCCTTTAACCCGTTCCATGCCCGGGTAGCGGGGCTGGGTTGTGTTAGGTAGGCAGCCAACGTAAAATTTTTCCAAAACTTATCATGCATCCTGAACCAACCCCAATTAATTGTGAAAAGGCTATGATGATGAATTAGTATGCGTATGAATGATATTGGGTGTTTGCTTCATGTATTTTGTTTCTTTATGTATGGTCTTCCTTTTCCCTAATGTTACTCAATATAAATTTTGTTAATAGTTAGTTTTTATTACAAATGTCAATTTGCTGAGGAGATACATGACATGATGGTTTGAAACAGGTTTTGTGATGCGGGTTTGCCCAGTGACATTATTGTTGAAGTAGAGGAAACCTTGTTTCATCTGCATAAGGTTTGCAATATATCATTATAGAGTGACATAACTTTCTTTGTTGCAGGTTATATATGTCTAGAACTTTGTTAGATGACTATTTATTGAACATGATAAGTAGATGAAATCAGTTGTAGCTTTTGTGCATTTAACATCTCTTTGTTCATGAAAACTTCTACCCATACATACTACGGTATAAAGTGGATTAGTATCGCTACACTGAGGATTTGTGGCTTGAAGTGTCCTTTTTTTACTTTATTTTTTTTGTAGTTCAATGGGGAAAGGGTCCCCTACCCGTAGTAGGAATGGAACTCAAGACGTCCTATTTTTGGCATCTATCACCCTGACCACCTATGCCTTGAGCACATTCCTAGGAAGTCTTGAACTGTCCAAGTTAAATATGAAAAGGACACATGGTGACTTGTATACTATTAAAATTGCAGGAAGTTACATGAGGCCCATAGCATCCCTAGGAATCGTTGAAAGCATGTCATGTGGGCGTTTGTTTATAAACCATACTACAAGTGTTTGGATACATGTAGAAGTGTCATGTGTGCATCTTTTTGCAAACCATACTACAAGTGTTTGGAACTTTGGATACACGTAGGTCTATAGTTACCCGAATCGCCTATGAGGGTAGCCATTCCATTTCGAAATCTCAATTCGGCGTTTCCCTGGGCGAAAGTCGATTCTAAAAGAAAAGAATTATGTTTCCATTTTTTGCTGAACGCGATTCCACCTAGTTTAGGAATCTCAATTCCTGGATTGCCGGAATCAAGATTCCATATTGAGGACTTTATGATTCTTAGCTACACAAGAATGCGATTATGCTTGTGAGAAAACGTTGATTCCAATTTTTTTGGAATTGTGAATCCATGTCGTTTGGAATCAAGTTTCTATATCGCAGACATCGTGATTCCTTGCTACACAATAATGCGAGCATAGGGAGAGCAGAAACCCTTCAATGTGTGCTCAATCATGAGTGAGCGCGACATGTATGAGAGCGTGAGAGAATTTGAAGTTGTTGCACACGGCAATAAAATCAAAATTTAAAGGGAAAAGTTTATATAGAGCCGAGGCTCTAAACAATCAAATTTGAGCATACCTCAAAAATTTCACTAGAAGAGGTTGTTTTGATGCCCAAATATCTTTAAATTGATCATCTCGACATCAAGATGCATAGACATGAGAAAAAAAATGGATTTCAAGTTATAGAATAATGTATTTGTAATGCATTTTTGGACCGTCAATTTTCAATATTTTCAAGTTTTCATAGATCTGTTGATCTACACTATTTTTGAAGCTTTAAACTTTATAAATAAATATAAAAATATATTTTAAGGCTATCACAAAGATTTCCATTATTGAAACCACATTTCTCGACACTATTTGAAAGTAGGCTCTAATTTGATGGTTTAGAGCCTAGACTCTATACAAACCGCACCCAAATTTAAAATATTGAGTAATATGTGAGCATAGAGAGAGCACAATCATGAGTGAGCGTGTCATGTATGAGAGCATGAGAGAATTTGAAGTTGTTGCACATGGCAATAAAATCAAAATTTAAAATATAAGTAATATGTTAAATTTTTTATTTTCTTATATACTAATTTTCATCCTTCATTCTATGTTACTTTTTAAGAACTCTTACCAAGAATAAATAATACTAAAAACGTATGTTACTTCAAATTTAATATTGTTTGGTAAATGATGTGGGTACTAAACTACTAATGTAATAGTTTTTAATATATGATCGGCATCGTCATTTCTTCAAGTTGAATAAGAGGATAAAAATACTTTTCTTTAAGTAAAATAAGAAGATAATAAGGATATGAGCGAAGTGCCTTGTGTCCTGTTTTAGGTTGAATTAATCATTAAATATCAGATAAATTGACTAAAAATTGAATAACTCAATTTTCAGAAGTCAAGGACTCAAAATTACATTTAACAAAGAAGAATTACTATGTCATGTACTTATTTATAATTCAAGGAAAGTAGATAAAAGGAGCTTGTCCTTGTTCTCACTCTTTGTATGCCTTAGACTAGCTCCAGACCTTGTAGGCATAATAGGGTTATCGGTAGACCGAGTCCATTGTATGGGATTGTCCACAAAGATATCATAAGGTTGACATAGTACTTGGAGTCTTGGATTGAGTATATACAGACCAAAATTCGATCTTGTAGTAATGGGTAAATTTATATATTTTTTGAATACTTCTCTCATATACCGGAGGAAATTGGTTTGCAATTCTAGTAAGGGGAGAATCTCGATTCCAATATGGGTAGAATCATGATTCCGGAATGGTGGGAATGTTGATTCCAAGTTGATGGGGACAACGATTCTAGAATTTTAAGAATCGCAATTCCTTATTTTTAGGAATCACGATTCCCAACAACCACCGAAACAGGTGGGGTCATGTGTGATTCCATATAGGTATGAAACATGATTCCAATAGGAAGGGACATCGATTCTTGCAAATAGGAAACATGATTCCTAATTTTGAATTGAGATTCCGAAATAATGAGAATCATTTTTCTCAAATTTGAATCATACGGACAACGATTCCTAGATTCCAAAACTTCTGATACATGCGATGCCGATTCCAAAAACGATTTGGAATCACAGACGTTTCCAACAACTATATGTAGGTCTCCATCTTTTTGTTCTTAGTGATAGATGATGGACATGAACCATTCCTCTACGTGAGTGGACAAATGTGGGAGGTAATGATTGATCTCCACCCCTTCCATTGGGAACAGAAGGTGGGGACATATGTATGGGTATACTACATGTATTTTAGACTTTTCTATCCATCATGCATAATTATATTATCATAAGAGCATGTGAAGTAGGACTGAAATCTTTTATTCACATTACATAGATGTATATAGACTTGTATCTTAGCTGGTTGCTCTCTTTTTATTTTTTCTTTTGGAATTAGTTTTCTTTTACTTGATTTTATAAACGTATCATGTCATCAAAACCTTTGCTAGTAGTAAACCTCAGCACAACTATGTAAGTTTGATGTTAGAGTCTTTGATGTCTAGGCTCCATTTTGTACATCTCCTATACTAGTAAGCACAATTTTTCTCTATGAAAACTTGTTAACATTTCAGAAAAGGGGGAAAAAAAAACATATCAAAACACCTTTGTTGAAGATTCATGAAGTTCTAGAACTCCTGCAACATTTAAACTTACTGAGGTATTTTGTTAGGTTCAGTGTTTGGACTTTGCCCTTCCTTTGATGTATTTACTGTTTGTTTCTTGTCCAGTTTCCTCTGCTGTCAAAAAGTGGAAAGATAGCGTGGCTATTGAAAGACGCACAAGATCATGAAGGAGATATTTTTCATGCCAAACTATTGGAATGTCCCGGAGGCTCTACTGCATTTTTGGTTGCTACAAAGTTCTGCTATGGAGCTAAGGTGGATTTTACTCCAACAAACATTGCAACGATCTATTGTGTAGCAGACTATCTTGAAATGACAGAGGAGTTTGGTGAAGAGAATTTGTTTCCCCAATCCGAACATTACTTCCATAAGATCATACTTCGCAACTGGAAGGATTGTGTGACAACCTTGCAAAGTTGTGAGGCAGTTCTTGCAAAGGCTGAAGAACTCCAAATTGTGAAGAAATGTGCCAGTGCTCTATCCATGATGGCATGCACTGACCCAAGTTTATTTGGGTGGCCAATGATGATGTATGGTAATCTACAAAGCCCTGGTGGGAGTATCCTCTGGAATGGGATAAACACTGGGGCTAAAATTACGAGCTTCCAATCTGATTGGTGGCACGAAGACGTTTCATATCTCAGCGGGCCACTATTTGAGAGGCTCACGGAAGCGATGAAAGCAAGAGGAATGCGATCCGAAAGCATAGGTGGTGCAGTGATGCATTATGCCAGAAAGCATTTACCAGGACTCACTAGACGGTTAGGTGGACAAGGAGACCCCCTCAGAGCTGCTGCTAGTATTAACAAAGTTCCTGTGGTTGTGGATCAGAAATCATTGCTTGAAACTATTGAAAGGGCTCTTCCTGCAATGAAGAGCCTATTTTTTTGTCGCTTTTTGTTTGGGCTATTGCGGTTAGCCATGATACTGAATGCTAGTGAGGCGTGCAAGAGCCGGCTAGAGAGAAGGATAGGCATGCAAGTGGACATGGCAACTCTTGATGATCTCCTTATTCCTACTTATTCTGATTCTGACAACCTTTATGACACCGATTGTGTAGAGAGGATTGTCAAACACTTTTTGTCATCCGACCCAAAAAATATGGCATCCCCATCGGATGCTTTGGAGGAGGAGTTGGGGTCTCCATCTTTGAGTCCCTTTATGCGAGTCGCTAGGTTGATTGATGGTTATCTTGCTGAGATTTCATCCGACGTCAATTTGAAACCTGACAAACTGCGTTCTCTTGCAGAGTTCCTTCCAGAATCTTCGAGGCCCTTCCATGATGGTCTGTATAGAGCCCTTGATATTTACTTCAAGGTGTGCAAGCTCTCTATCTGATTCTGGATTCATATTTAATAGTTTGCTCTTATAATTTTGGTTTTTAATAGTTTATATGCCTGCCACTCATACCTGGATGTTTGATTTTTCGACAATGCGTGGTAATATGCATGGTTATATGCTATCGTAATAATAATTCTCAAAGTCAATAATAAAAAATTTGCAACTGAGGACTACCCGGATCGAGGCCAGGCAATTCCAGATAAAATGGAAACCTTGGAAACGCTAGGGTCTCTTCCTTTTTAATTTTGTGGTAGAATTTCCTGTCTGACTCGGACTTGCCTGAGTTGCACCAGGTGATTTGAGATCAGGACTCTGGCATGTCCCTACCTATGTTTGCCTTTCTAGTCACTTCTTCAAGTTAATTGGACGTGCTGGAAAAGTCCTAGTAAGCATTAGTAGCTGTTTATTTTCCCTTGTTCTGACCTGCAATTTTTCATGTACAGCGTTGTTTTCCTTTCTTTATTCATGTTCACTTAGCTAGTTATTTAGGCATTTGCCAGACTCTTTCTTCCAGATTTAGCAGCCATTATACTTGATTTTCCCTTGTGTATTTAGAAATTATTTGAATTCATCCGACTTGAGAAGAATAGAATAGAGAACATAGAGAAAACTATTTCTGGTGCCCTTCATCTATCAGCATAAATGTGCTCTATGTCCCACCACACAGTTGTCCTTTGCAGGCCCAAGCCATATTTTAGGTTTCATTATTTTTATTTGTGATGAGAACATCCCATCATTTTCAAAAGTGAAACACAAGTCATCGACATATCTAAACAGGGGGTATCCACTAGGAAACATGCCTTGATCTGTTTTAGAACGTATGACACCCATGCATGTGCTTCTACCATACACGTGAACATGGAATATTCAAACATATACGAGGACCACTGCTTTTTGTAAAACACTCAAAAGTTTCAAAAAGGAAAACTTGTATCTTTCATTCACCATTCAAAACATACACACACATATCTACAACACGATGGTAAGTCTCATAGCAAGATAGAGAACAAAGTGTAACACACCACTTCATCTTCTATGATATTATAGAATACACCTATTGTGTGTGATATGTTATACTACACTTACAATATATGATAGGATACACTATAAATAATACAAGATCTTCAACAATCTCTATTCGTCCCCTTAAATTGAGGTTGGTTTGACAACATTAGTTTGTCAATGAGATAAGTCATGTTGAGCCATATTCATTGCCTTGGTAAAAGCATCTCCAAGCTGTTGTGTGAGGCAAAATGCAGGAGTGTGATCTCTCCAGCTAGGAAATTTTCACGTATGAAATGGCAATAAACTTCTAATGCTTTTTGTGGTCATGAAATACTGTATTAGAGGCAATAATATTGGCACTCACATTATCAACAAATAAAGGTGCGGGAGATCGAGGAAAAATATATAGGTCGCAATAAAGATCTCTCAACGAAGTTATTTCACTGCAAGCTGAGGACATAGGCCCCTATTTGGCTTTTGCAGAGGATTTTGATACAATGTGTTCTTTCTTACATATCCATGATGTGAGAGAGTCTATGAGAAACACACACCGCCTAGTGGTTGAACATTAAGTATCTGGGCACCATGCCTAGTCGGAAACAATATAGGCTCGCAACTGGGGAGAAGAATTGGAAGAGAAAAAGTCCTTAATGGCATGTACCTCGTAGATATCGAATGATATGATGGGCAACTACTTGAAGAGGTGGATATGATGAGGATCTGCAAATAATTGTCTACTATCTGCACTACATGTGATAGATCAAGATGAGTCATAGTGTGGTAAAGTATGTTGCAAATATTGGGGGTTTGGAAGTTTGCCCCCATTATCGTTTTTATATTTGACGTTTACCTTCATTTGTGTGTCCACCCATTATCAAAAGTCAGGTTGGCCAATATGATCAAATCTCTGGTGTATTTTTTTTGATGAATTGTATATCAATTAGATGAAATACGAATCTCTAGGCCAATAAAGTAAGTCAATGGACCCAAATCCTTCATCTTGAATGAGTGGCTAAGAAGCTCTTTCAATTGTTGTATATTGGCATGGTTGTCGTTCATTAATATATAGAAGAAGAGTTGTTATCTTTGAGGAATAATCGTGGGTAAATAGCAATAATCATGAGACCTTTGTGCAAATCCCACACCTAGAATGACGCGTGGAAATCGTTCATACCATGCTATTGGAGCTTGTTTCAAGCCACACAAGGATTTCTTCAAACAACAAAGCATAGACTTGTCATGGTAATACATAGGGGGAGGTCGCATATACACGGTCTTTTTTGAATGTCCATGAAGAAACACATTCTTAGATCCATTTGAAAGGGAGTACACTGGCAATTACTGTATGCACCGTGGTCATTTTAGCTTCTAGAGCAAATGTTTCTTCATAGTCTATGCCATACTCTTCCTTGTAGCCTTGAGTAACTATCTGTGCTTTATATCACTAAATCCCTCGGTCAGATCTCATCTTAACATAGAAACCTAAATATTTCCAATGATAAAAGTGTCAGCAGGGCAAGGCACAAAATCCCATGCATCATTCTTTAATAATACACTTGTTTATGTATCCACGGCCTTCTTCCAATATGGTATGGTACAAGCTTGTTGATAGGTGGAAGAAATATCCATTAAGGGAGGCAAGTAATGATCTAGGAAGTAAACAAAGATGTAGGTAGTTGAAAAGAATATCACTGGCATCAAGAGAAGTAAACAAAGATCTAGGGTGTCATGAAAAACCAAAATCATCAGAAGGAAAACCATATTGGTTAGGAGGATGAATTATATGTTAGGGGCGTTGTAATTGGATAAAGCTATCAAAATAGGCAAGATTAGGATAAAGGAAGAGGGAAGAGAACTTACAGGTAATATGGTGAACTGACCTTGCTTTGGTTGGTGATTTGAAGGAGGCATGTGTTGGTTCTGATTGCTTTGTCATTGATACATCAAAAGTTGTGGCGGTATATTAGTGGAACTGCAAGACACATTATGTGAATTTGTAAAATCAGGTGAAGAGATAGGGAATTCAAGAAATTTGGTAAGAAAGGAGCAGAAGAACATGTGAACTTAGCAATACAAGAGTAATAAAAGGGGCTTTCTAGAAAGACAACATGGCAACACACATGAATGCGACGAGCTGCCGGATCATAACAGAGGAATCCCTTTTGATCGGCACATTAGCCCACAAAAATAGTACTATGTACTTGAATAGAAAATTTCATTATTTCATAAGAATGTTCTGTCTAAACATGAAATAATAAATAATATCGAGATCTTTTATACAAAAACCGAGGATGAGAGACGATTTATGAGATAAATAGCTGTGGATTTAGCTTTCACCCAAAAAATGTGAAGAACATGGGAGTCATGCATGAAGGTCCTGACAACTTCCTGGACATGGTGGTTTTTCATCTTAGCTATACCCTTGTGTAGTGGAGTATGAGGACATGTTTTCCATGATTGGATATGCTGAGCTTACAAATATTCTTGGAGATTTTGTAATAGGTATTCTCTCTCGGAGTATGACCATAGGATTTTCATTTTTTTTGTTTTAAATTGGGTCACAACCAAATGGGACCCTAAACCCTAATAAGCGCATGGTTGAGAATTTAGGAGAAATAGCCATAAACATAGAGTTTTGTTCCAACTGTCGAACAACATATGATATAGGTGTTGTTTGGGATCTTGTTCTGTTTGGGCTACAAGCAATGTTTGATGGAGTGACCTTTGATCTCATATCCACTATCAATCCCTCAAATGTATCATTCAACAAAAAATTTTCTTTTTACAATAAGATGTGATATGGCCATATCCACTATCAATCCCTCAAATGTATCATTCAACAAAAAAATTTCTTTTTACAATGAGATGTGATATGGCCATATTCTTTACATTCACAACATTGCAATGAACATTGGTTTTTTTTTTTTGTGGTAGCTTTCCTCAAATCCATTTGGGCCAATATCCCCTCTTCCTTTAATGGTGGCCTGTTTTGTATTTCTAGCCTCCCCACAAAATTACTCACCAAGAATCACATCCATGTTGGCTACTGTTTTAGGGCTCAGGAAATTGGCTCGAAGGATCTCACATTTTGGGCATAATTTCATCAGAAACTTCATCACCTTCTTTTCATCATAACTCCTTTAAACTTTTAATGCAATAAGTATTAGTGATAGCTTTCGGACTTACAGATTCATACTTTGTTCGCAAGTTTATAAAACTAGCATAGTATCCCTGGAAATTATTCTTCCCTGAAAATTTGGAATCGTCTCACAAGATTTGATTGTTGATAAACCTTTTCCAGGTTTTCCCACATTTCTTTTGCATTGTGAAACCCTCTCATTGGCCTTCCAATGTTTTGTATCCACAGAACTTAGGATTTATGAGACAATCTTAGGATTGTTTACTTTCCATTCTTGGGTTTCTTTGGGTTGGATTGAGCAGCTTGTGATCCAGCACGAAACCTTAACAAAAACCTGAATATGAAAATGCCATTTGGGATGGTTTTGCTCATCATGTTTTATAGCCAACACATCTCCCTTCTCGGAAGCCATGTCCAATCTATGTGAGCACCCTCGATCTGGGATCAAAACTAATATTGAGAAAACCACAAAAAAAAAAAAAAAGAATGAAAAAGAAAAAGGAAAAGGGTATGATATCAAACCTTGCTTAAAAGAATCGATCTGAGATCAAAACTTGAATTTATGAATTATCAACCGTAAATGTTTATGGATTCCCAGAAATCAACCCACAATAGGTCAGATTTGAGACTCTTCTAAAGGCAAAAAAATGTCAGATTTGAGACTCAATAAAGAGATTAACTAGAAATCAGCCAACAGGAGATACCCAAAAGGCTACCCTAAAACCACCTTGTTTCTGTGGTGGTTTTGGAAAAGAAAGATATTATGGTTTGGGTCAAAAACTTGATCTCTCAAAACCTTCGCTTAGACACCATGTAAAACACTCAAGGAGGCAAAGAGAAAACTTGTGTCTTTCATTCACTATTCACAAGACACACACACACAACATGACAGTAACTTGCATAGCAAGATAGGCGACATAAACTCACTGCAAGATAGGGTATAGAGTGTAATGTACCACCTCGCCTTTTATGATATTGTATAATGGTCCTACTATGTATGATATGATACACTGTAGATAATACAAGATCTTGAGCATTCTGTGCACTTTCATATTAGCCGTGCCATTTGTTACAATAATCTTGGGCCTGCTTTGATTGCTTGGGCAACAAACATACCAATATTAGACCATAATTGCTTACCTCGTGCTACACACGAGGAATTATGGATCTTTTGTTTTTGATGTATGGAGATCTTTATGATTTGGCACATCAATCGAATCCTTTGTGGATCCAAGAAACTTTGATTGCATTTTCTCAAAAAATTGGATAATAGAGAGCAATTAAGTGTTTGTTTGGGGTTAATCTGCCAAGTTACCAAATGCTTGAGACTATTTTAACTGTTAGGCTAATTCTCCAAGGCACCAAATATTTGAGATATACAAGAAGTGGTGAGTATAATGGCCGAGGAATTTGTAGATAAACATGAGGGACTAGAATGCACTTTAGTAGAAGAAACTAAACACTATTTTTGTATGGAAAATTGTTTCATGCAGGCTGGACCGCATTTCTACATATGCGGTCTAGAAAGTGTAAAGCATCCATCTTTAAGATGGATGCAAGTACGTGTGTTCCATCTAAAAACAATGGAAATGAACGGTTCAAATGTTCTTATTAGAATTATTATTTCTAGTTTTTAAAATTTATTTATTTTTTCATATTCATGAACTCCATGTTAAAGATTACATGTCCTTAAAAATTAAGTCTTAAAATCCATCTCAAAAATAGATTTATTAAGAGGCCTGCATTTCTACATATGTGCGCTTGGCCGCATAGAAACTGGGTCCTTTTTGTATTGGATGTTACATTAATTGTTACTTTCCGGAGGTAACAAAAACAATCTTCATTAATGCAGAAATAATCTCCTGCAGTTACTCTTTTCTCGTGGAATGTCTGTAGGAGGAATTCTACTATGATTTTCCTGAAAATCTGTTTGAATTAATAGAGAGAGAGAGAGAGAGAGAGAGAGAGAGAGAGAGAGAGAGATCAGTACTTAAAAGTTAGGGTAAATACTAGCTGGATGGTATTTCCCTGCTGTCAAATTGTCCATGCAATTTCATACTTCCATATGACAATCTGTGTTGCAGATGCACACGCAGAGAGAGAGAGAGAGAGCAATTTGCAAGTTGTGCATGTTATTTTCTCGTGCTAATACTAGCTGGATGGTATTTTGTTGTTGTTAAATACTTCATACGTTCTCAAACTTCTATGACCATCCATATTGCAGGCACATCCTTGGCTCTCAGAGAGAGAAAAAGAGCAACTGTGCAACATCATAAGCTACCAGAAGCTGTCCATGGATGCATGCACCCATGCTGCCCAAAATGAACGCTTGCCTCTCAGAGTCATCGTTCAGGTCCTTTTCTTTGAGCAATTACATCTGAGGACAGCCATTGCTGGATACCTCCACATCTCTGAAAATGATGATATTCCCCCCCCAACAGCCACAAGTGCTGCTGCAAATCTCACTGCAGGCCAGTTAGTGCAGAGAGATGGGTGGGTTTCAATTGTGAGAGAGAACCAGGTTTTGAAAGGAGACATGGACAGAATGAGATCGAGGGTTGGGAAATTGGAACAAGAATTCACCACGATAAATCTTGCTATACAAAGAGTACGAAATATCAGAAGCTCATTCTCATCACCGCGCCTTGTTTCGAGGGTAATGCGTAGTTGCAAGCTCCTGCAATCTTCTTCTCAGCATCATCAAAAGGAGGAGAAGGATAGTACACAAAGTCCGGTTTTGGTTGGTGGTACCCCAACAGAAACAGCTAAGCCACGCCAATCGAGACATCGGAAGAGTCTCTCTCTGTTCTGAACCAGACGTACAAGGGGTTAAACCTCGCTTGTCAGGGTTCATGTAAAATATACTGTGAACTGCAATGCTTGAAAGTCTTGAGATTGGACGAAATACTTGTGGAGAGATGGGGGGTGAGGAATTCAATTGGAGAGAGAGAGAAATCTCTCTGACTTGTGTTAATCTCGTTGGTTCAGCAAGGTGGTTTCATATCTCTCGCGTCCCCCCCTCTCTTCCTCGCTCTCTGTCTCAGAGCTACAACAAATTAAACTGGTTTGGATGTGATCTCTCTTTCACACGCTCGCACGGGTAGAACCAATTAAACTGGTTTGGATGTGACGTGATGTGATGTGCTGGGAAAGTATGATCGTAGAAATATGTGGTCATACGTTTCATCGCCATCCAATCAGGAAATGGACAATGATGACTGCAGGGTGGGACCCACCAGAATATTTGACGCGACCCAAGTGGTAGATCGGCTCTCTCTCTCATTACATGCTTGGCCGTGATTGGGTTGGAATGTAATAACACTCACCACTATTTTCCTATGCTCATGTGGCTCATAATATACATTCCCTTTTGTTCTATAACTGTTGATTATTGTACAGGGCCAGGCTATATTCTCTCTCTCTCTCATGTTGTATACTTGTGGATTCATTGAGCCAATTTTTAACTTGGGTGCGGTTTGTATAGAGCTTACCTTTAAATAGTATTGAGAATTGTGGTTTTAATAATGAAAATCTTTGTGATAGTCTTAAAATATATTTTCATCTTTATTTATAAAGTTTAAAGCTTTAAAAATAGTGTAGATCAACTAATCTTTGAAAACTTAAAAATCTTGAAATCTATTTTTTCTCATGGCCATACATCTTGATGTCGAGATGAATAATTTGAAGATATTTGGGCATCAAAATAACTTCTTGTTGTGAAATTTTAGATGTAAGCTCAAATTTAATTGTTTAGATTTAGAGTGTCGGCTTTATATAAACTTTTTCCCTTCAATTTTGTTGTGATGTGGGTGTGTCTCTCTAAAGGATATATGAGTCTAGATTCACATTTAGAAATGCGGGCCCCTTAATAATTTAATTTTGAAATACTATTTGATCATAAATTTGATGGAATATATAATATTTAACATGTTAATTTGTAAAAATAAATAAAATTTTAAAACTAGATATTTTTTGGAGAAAATATTTTAACGGTTGATTTTATTTTTTCCTATTATTTACTGGACCCAGTTTTGATGGACGGTCTAGATCTTGGAACCCGCAAAACAACAATTGGTGCGGGATTGGAAACAATTTTCCCTCTCTAAAAAGGTCTGTACTTTTAGGGATTGTTTTCGCACACATCTTCTCCCTTGAGTGTCACTGTATCTCAAAAAAATTGGGAGATGCGTTGAAGATAGCTGAAGGACCGGTGGAACCTCTCTTTCTCTCTCTACCGTCCTTCCAAATCCATAAACTATTACCATTACCATTACCATTACCAAGAAGAGAGAGCGAATTGTCCCAGGTGCCCTTTTCCTGCCGAGAACCACGCTCATAGTTATTTATTTTTCAAGGTCTGGTCCTCACCTCTCCCTCTCTTTCTCCCTTATCATTCACCTTTCTCTCTCCTCTCATGCCTGAGCTCAAGGCAAAGGAATTTCTCGATTGACGACTGTGTATTGTTGGCATTCCCATCTCCCCAAATTATTAATTCCTCCTCTTCTTCCTACTTTACTTCTATGTTCTAACAACGATAACGAGAATACATAGGAAATTTTTATTTGTTTTAAAGAAAATAATTTGATAGAGCTGCAGTACTATTGAAGTAAATAAAGCCTTGATTGAAAATTGCAATTCAAACCGAACATGATGTCTGTAGAAAGAAAAAAGATTTAAAGCTCTAAAAATAATATACATGGCAACAAAGAAGTGCTGATAGACAAACGCACAAGACTCGTATTATTTTTTTGATTATTTAAATTTTATTATTGGTATTAGAAGTTGAATTTAGAGAGATATTTTTTTTGGCGAATGTGGTTTCCAATAAAGGATTTGAAGTAGAAAGTCTATCCCTTGGTGGATTCGTTTATTAAGTAATATAGAGCAGCCCCACCACGCGACGCGACAAAGCGTTGCTTTTCCCCACTTCACCGCAGTTGAAAAAAGATGTATAAATCCCTCTCTCTCTCTCTCTCTCTCTCTC